ATAACATAACATAACATCACGCCTTTTATCCCCGAAGGGGTAGGCAGAGGTGTACATTATGCCACTGTACAATGTAACACACCCACTTTTCACTATTAATGTTATGAGTCCCATGTAAAAGGGGGTGAGCCTATTGCCATAATACCGGGCACAATTCCAGACTCCGTGCTACTACTGAGAATTTATAAAAACCCAGTAGTACTTTGCCCGACCCGGGAATCGAACCAGAGACCCCTTGCCCGGCAGTCGCACTTGCGACCACTCGTCCAGCGAGGCAGTCAATTATCACGATATAATTATGTCAGTCAAAACTCAAATATATTGATTTTCCGTCTCAATTATCGCAGTGTTTGCGACGAGCTGTGTTCAATATCAGAACATAGGCGATTACTTCAGGACATGTACTTGATGTTGGTTACCATTGACGGAAGCTGCAGTGGCCATACACTCGCGGGCGAGACGGCGGAGGAGGGGGGGACATTGCGGGATGGAACATGCATGTTAAAGATTATTATAAAGATGCTAGGTTGAAACTTTGTGCGTGGAAAAAACGAGAGCAAAAAGAGGTATGAGAAGGCATTCAAGAAAAAGCTTAAATGGTGTCAGGATAGGCAAGAGCAAATTAAGATGGATAACCTTGCTTCTCATCATGCTAAAAAATATTTCAAGCAATTTTGAAAGCAAACAAATAAACTAAACTGTAGACCTGGTCTACCTGTGAGTATAGATGGTATTAATGATCCCATAGTGATAGCGAACCTTTTTAAGGAGTACTTTAAGATAAAACCACAGCATGGTACTGTGATCACATCCAGTCAATCCGAAGAGTGCGGGGCTGTCAACCACCGGAGGTCGGTTCGGCTTACAGCTAAGGAACTACGAGAGGTGATAAGAGGAATGGCTAGAGGCAAGTCTCCTGGGTATGATGGCCTCAGCATTGAACACCTCAAAAATGTTGGGGTTCTAATCTGCCCCTCTTACTCTCAATGTTTTATAATTTATGCCTTTGTCATGATTACTTACCGGAGGATTTAACTAAAACAATTGTCGTACCAATAGTAAAGAATAAAACGGGGGATATATCAGACAAAAACAATTATCGCCCCATAATACTTACTGCCAACCGTAATCGCGAAGGTGCTTGATAGCCTGCATAATAACATTCTTTTGAGACACATAAAGTTGCATGATGCCCAGTTCGGTTTTAGAGCTGGCCTTTCTACTGAGAGTGCCATTGTGTGTCTTAAGCAGGCTGTCAGGTACTACACGGACAGGGGGACGCCGGTATACGCGTGCTTCCTGGATTTGTCAAAAGCTTTTGACTGTGTTAGATATGACAAATTGTGGGGCAAACTGGCGAGTGCGGGTGTGCCGGTGGAAGTTACAGCGTTGCTGCCATGGTACTGTGATCACATCCAGTCAATCCGAAGAGTGCGGGGCTGTCAACCACCGGAGGTCGGTTCGGCTTACAGCTAAGGAACTACGAGAGGTGATAAGAGGAATGGCTAGAGGCAAGTCTCCAGGGTATGATGGCCTCAGCATTGAACACCTCAAAAATGTTGGGATTCTAATCTGCCCCGCTTACTCTCAATGTTTTATAATTTATGCCTTTGTCATGATTACTTACCGGAGGAATTAACTAAAACAATTGTCGTACCAATAGTAAAGAATAAAACGGGGGATATATCAGACAAAAACAATTATCGCCCCATAATACTTACTGGCAACCGTAATCGCGAAGGTGCTTGATAGCCTGCATAATAACATTCTTTTGAGACACATAAAGTTGCATGATGCCCAGTTCGGTTCTAGAGCTGGCCTTTCTACTGAGAGTGCCATTGTGTGTCTTAAGCAGGCTGTCAGGTACTATACTGACAGGGGGACGCCGATATACGCGCGCTTCCTGGATTTGTCAAAAGCTTTTGACTGTGTTAGATATGACAAATTGTGGGGCAAACTGGCGAGTGCGGGTGTACCGGTGGAAGTTACAGCATTGCTGAAAGGCTGGTATGATTGTCAGAAAAATCAGGTGAGGTGGGGGGAGTCTTGTCGGAAGCTTATGGCATGGAGTGTGGTGTGAGACAGGGAGGACTCACCTCTCCTCTGCTGTTTAACCTGTACATAAACGACCTGATCGGCGAACTCAGCGATACACATACAGGGTGTCATATTGATGACGTATGTGTCAGTAATTTAAGTTACGCGGACGATATGGTGTAGCTGGGGCCGTCGGTGGGAGCGATCAAGAAGTTGGTGGCTATCTGCTAGATACATGCAGTGGAGCATGGACTGAAATATAATGCAAACAAGAGCGAAATCATGATGTTTAAAAGTAATAAAAACGCTCCGTTTCATGTTCCGCCAATTATGTTGAGCGGGGTGGCTCTGGGGATGGTGGCTAGCTTTAAGTACCTAAGACATATTCTCTCTGAAGATTTGAGGGATGATGCTGATTTGGAAAGAGAACGAAGGGCATTGGCAGTGCGGGGTAATATGATAGTTCGGAGATTTGCGCGATGCTCGGTAGAAGTAAAAATACTCCTGTCTAAGGCATACTGCCAATCTTTTTACGCAAGTAGCTTATGGGTGAGTCATACTCGGCGGGCCGCGGATGTCATTAGAGTTCAGTACAACAATGTGTTCAGGATGCTGTTGCGGCTGCCTCGGTACTGCAGTGCTTCTGCTATGTTTGCGGAGGCGCGCACTGATGGCTTTCATGCAATTATGCGGAAGAAAGTCGCTTCTATTTTCATGCGTGTGAGGGGCAGTAGCAACGGCATCCTGAAGATGATTGCTTCACGTGCGGATTGCCCAATACAGCGGAGATGGATGGATATCGTGTTGGGGCTGTAGACGTCGATAATCTCTCGATCTCTGTACGGTCCAATCACGCGTGGCGGGTATCGTGTCTGATTCTCCAATGGTTTTGATTATAATTATTGTTAATTTTGACATTGTTGAGTTTTATGTTTTATTAATAGTGTGACTTTTATATTTTATTGTATTCCTTAATTTAAATTTTATTGCTTTGTTGTTAGTTATTTTCTTCATTAATTATTATTATTCTGGCTGTATGGACTGTGTCTGACATTAAA